TTTCTTTCTTTCGTTCTTTCTTTCTTTCCTGTCTGATGCTGTGGGGTCTGCAGCTGAAGTCACACCACTGACATAAATTTGGAAGTGCAAAGTGTAGCTGTCAGCTTCCATTTACACACGTTCGGTAGTGAAGTTAAGACACGAAATGGATTTTTCAGTCGTAGATGTGTTACACAAACATCAGGCACCCACTAGAACATTGGGCTTTGTTATTTTTAACATTAACTAATTTTTCAGATTAATGTTTTTCTCTCTTTACCTTGGCGTTTGACTGCAGACTCAAGAGTTCCTTAGCTTTGGCACAATACATTGTGTGTGTGAGAGAAAGTGAGTGAAAGAGACGGTAGGCTATGTTTCCATCTAAATGTCAAGTGAATTACAGGGCAACTTTTGAAATGTCATCAAATATGAAATGTGAATTAAGTAGGCTCTTAAAAAGCAAATAGACTAGCTTCCTGAATGTACCCACCGCATGTCAGAAAACAAATGGAAAGTGTCTCCCAAGATTTGTTATTGTTCTTTTGTGTATTTGACTTATGGTAAGATTTAACGCTTTCACCCGAAGCCAAAGATAGAAAAATATGTAGCCAATGACCGTACAACCCCAATGGAGACTTGTCTTAATAAAAAAATAACATGATATTTCAGGTACAATTTTCTTGACATTTTTTAGATGGTGTTCAATGAGATTGAACAAGCCATGTTTACTGATTTAAAAAAGTGCTCCAAGAAAAGAAGCTTTTCCACTGCAATCAACTGTAACTTTTAGTCTATGCCATAACAGAATTATTTTAAGCATTTATAGGGTTCTGGAAATAAAAGTCCTGTTTGTACTTTGCATTGACAGCACTAGATGACAGTTGGACCACTTCCAAGGCTCGAATGGATATTAAAGTTTTCCTCTTGAATATCAGTGCAAAAAATGCACAGCTCCTTAAGAAAATATCAGATTTTTCGATATCATAAATCAAAGATTTATGTTTGTCGAGAAGTTAAAGGAATAGTTTGACATTTGAGGGAATATGCTTATTCAGTTTTTTGTCTGGGCGCAATGATTTCCTCAAGCCTCGTCACCACGAGGCTGCTAGCCAACCAGGAAATCACAGGAAGTCACTGGCCATGAAATAGTTCCAGCATGTAGCGTCCTGTAAAACGAACTTCTTTACATTTTGGTTTACGTATGCATTAAACAACAAAAATATAACATTTATTTTATATTGTCCAGAACCAGTCTAGCTGTTTACCACTGCTTCCAGTCCTTATGCTAAGCTAATCACATGTTAGGTCTAGCTTCATATTTAGCTTACAAAATGGTATCAATCTTAACATTTAACTCTTGCTAGTACAAATTTCTTTAACTCCAACTTCTAAACACCTTGTTATAAAACATTCAGTCACCTAGCTTAAATGATTTTTGTTCACCGCACAGCTTGTGGAAGGCAGAAATTACACTTATGTTGAAACCTGATCATTTTAAACAGGTTCACTTTTAGATTCTGTGAATGAATTTGACAGTCAGGCATTTTGAATTTACCACTGATCATGGTTGTTGTAGTATTTAGAGCCATCAGCCATTCCAAAGTGGTTGGAAAATTATGATTTCTACATAATGTAAATCTCTTTATATATAGGCTTTAAGTAGGCTACCTACATTATCCTATAGACTCCTGTGTTTCTATGTTGAGAAACACTCAAGATATCATATAAAGAAAACTCTGAAATAGTAATATGCTGCCATTGTGCTCTATTAAGGACATTTTATTGAAAAATTCATTCCATGAGAAACTTTTAAACACATGGAAACAGAAAGAGAAAGAGGGAAGAGCCTCAGTCTGAGTGGAAGCCTGTGGCACACTGTGTTGTTTTTGGCAGTGGCTGTTTGGGAGTGTTGATGCTTGCCTGCCACACACACACACACACAGTAACACACAGAATAAGTTGCCTGTGGCTCGTGTAAAACACCCAAAACACTGTCTCTTGGCAGGTTGGCGTGGGGACAGGTGATAAAAATGTGTTTACCCTAAACACTCGCCAGCTCACTGGCTGCCTCAGTGCTGATTTACTACAACTCTCTCACTTTATCCACTTCTTATCTCCTTTACCTTCCTTCTGTATCGCCCTTGCTGCATTTTATCACTCAGACCATTCTGTCTCTCCATCTCTCCTCCCTGTCTTTCTCTGCTGGTGTCTGGTTTACAACCAATTACAAATATTAATCCAATAATTCTAATGTTTGTCTGTTTTTTTTTGTCAAGGAGAATAAAAGGAATAATCAACCTTTGGCGTTTTAAATTATATGAATAAAACACACAGTATATAGTCACAGTATATAGTCCACATATCAGTATTTATACATTAATAGGGTTTTGCAAGGACTTTTTAATTTTCTCCTTCCTTTTTCTAGCTCTCCTCTCCTCTCTCCTATTCATTTTATTCCAATTATATAATATTATTATTATTTTTTTTCTACTCTTACTTCCTCACTTTTTTTTATTTCTCTTCTCTGTCCATTCAAGCTCATACAACTCTCTGTACTCTCTTACCCAAGATGAAACAAGCATCTTCATCATCTTGCTCCTCAACTCACCTACCCTCTTTTCTTTTCATCTACCCTTCCTTCTCTCCTCACCCCATTCATCCTCCCTCTCTTTCCTCTTCTTTAAACCATCCATCTTCCACATTTCTCCTCCACTTGATAAAGAAGTCGGTGTTCGGACAGCGAGGAATTTTTATCCACCCTCCAATCTAAACAGCACTTGATCCCCGACTCGGTCTCAGGGACAGATAGAGAGCCATCTAGGGTAAAACATCTCCCTCTCATCCTCACTCATCCCTCTCTTCTTCTCTTCTCCTTCTCCTCCCCACTTACACCTCACCCCTCCCATCCCCTACTGTGTCTGTGTCTGATCTGTTTATCTGTATGGGGGGTATAAATTGTGCATCAGCGTACACACACGGCTGACTTATGCAGATGTATCTTGGAGTTACAGGTTGTATTTTCCTCTCTAAGTGCTCCCATAAATTGTGCTCCCTAATTTTGTTTTATACGAGGCCTGCTGGTCGAGTACACATTGGCGTCTTTAGGTCTTGTGATGAGACAAAAAGCCTCTCATCCTGACCCCATCCTCCAGCATTCCCCCTTTACTGGCTGTAAATATCACCCATTGATCCAAATGTACACAAATACATATCCAGTGGAGCCGCTTGTCCAATAAATCTATGAAAAATTGGGTGGATTCCATTGTCCTGAGGGTGGGGAAATTGTATTAATTACCTTATTTTACTGCAATGTGGGCCATCTGTCTGGAAATACCCGCTGTTTTTTCCCAAATATGGGAAACCACCATAATTTATTCCTATAGTTTTTAAGTTTTTTCTTTGTTGTGCAGCTGTCTACCACCACTCCCTCCCTTGCTCCAATTGTCCCCCCCTTTTGTTTACATTGATCCCATGTGATCTGTACGGCTGCATTAGCTTATTTACAACAATCATAATCCGACTGTAAACATGCAAGGCTTTAATGGACTCAATGAGGAAGTTGTGCTCAGGCGGCGGACTGCATGTCTTGACCACACAATGGGCCCATACGCACAAACTAAACATTAAGCCATTCACAATAGGCCATGTGCCCTTATGAATACCTATAGCTCCTTTTGTCAGGATAAAGGAACCACAAATGAGCTATTGTCTGACTTAACCATTCTAAATCAGGCAAGCCCTCAGGGGCATGTTTTCCACACAGCACCCAAGAATGTCTCCTTTGTGTGTGTATGTTTTTGACGTCCTTGGTGACTGAGGCTTCAGCATGGGGCCCTGCATGACTGTGACTCCATCTGTGGCCCGTCCACTGCCACGAAATCCCGAGTATACACACAAACTTGGGCAGTTGGAGGAGTGTGTTAATATGTGCATCGCGTACAAGAGAGCAGTTTCACAGTCAGATACACTCACAGGTATTGCCTAACTGAAAGTGGTGGAAGAAGCATTTAGATTTCATATTTAAGATTCATTGTGTCACGTTGTAAAGTAAAAGTACGTTATATAGTGGAATAGCTGTGTTATTTTTTTAGATGACGATTGTTAATGGTTGAGGTGGAGCTGATTTTAACCACTTTATAAACAAATGGATAGTTTAATCTGTATCGATTCATACATTTTTTTACCACCTCATATGTTTTATGAGTAAAATCCTAATTTGCAATGTAATGGCGCTAAAACTGCAACATTTTCTAATTAGAGTGAAGTGAATGTAGTATAAAGTACCAGTGCCTCAAAACTGTACTTCAGTAAGTACTTAGTTACATTCCACCACTGATACCTGACAACATACTTTACTTTGTGGATTTCTGTCCTTCTTTCATTGAGAAGTCATGCACAAGGATATCTGTATCTCTGTTCTGCTATCCGCCGAGTGAAGAATTGAAAAGTTCCCATTGTTTAAAAGTTCACAGCAGGAATTCAATTGAACAAATGAGACCTTATGAATCTTATGAGACCATGTGTCTCTGATGTCTATTATCCTGAGGCTATGAGACACATTGTAAGAAAGAGGACAGCCACAAATAAGACCACGTCTCAGAACAATGCAGACATTCTCATTTGGTCAGCTGGATGGCTGCTGCAAAAAAATTTTTTTCAGGAAAAGAAGGAGGATATGGTTCCTAAATTTTAGAAATGTATCAGTTCATAAGAATGGGTTCTTTTTTTCTCTTTTCCTTTCTGCTCTGTCTCTTCTTTTTTACTGTTCACTTATCCTCCACTTGTTCGTATTCCACAGTTGATATTTGTGGGCGATATCTTGAGACGTCTTTAGTGAACTTACCAAACAGCTTTATCTCTACAGGTTGTACATGCATCATGTTTGAACATACAACCTAGAAATTACTTTCTGAAACTGTTTACAAATGTGAACAGTTTTTGTCTCAAACGATGGAGAGTTTTTGTAGTATGCTGTTAAATGACATCAAAAGTGAAGTTTATTACTTTCGGTGTTTTTGTAGAGCCAACTTGCATGGAGAGACTCCTCTCTAAGGATTGGAAGGAGCGCGTTGACCGCCTGAATGCCAACGAATTGCTGGGAGAGGTCAAAGGTAAGAGCAGTCTCGGGTCAGAGAGAGAGAACATCCACGTCAAAGCCAGCGTCCACATGCACAACTACAACTAAATCTGCATTCACAGTGACAAACAAAGTGAGTCTTCTGCAACAGATGGCACAACAACACATGCTGTACGTGGACTGTTTGAGGAAAGAAGAAATAAAAGAAAGAAAGAAAGAAAGAAAGAAACCAAACACTTTCTGCATGTTTCTACATATGAAAGCAAAACAGTGAATGGTAGAACAAGGAGTGAAGGCTGGTTTACACAGTATGGGTCAATTATAACCTGTACTATATAAACCAGCCTTCACTGCTTGTCAACTTTGATTAAAGGCTATGTGTCAAGGAAGAGGCTGCACATACTCTAATATCTTTATCAACAAATAGTATTCATGAAGCTAGCACCAAGGCAAACATATTCTCCACCTGCTCTGGTATTCAAAAAAGAAAATTCCAGTATTGTGGAGGGATCTTATGTTAAAATTTCATTCAGCAGCTGCAACAGGTGGGAGAAGTGGGGAGGGAATTCTTTGAAAAGAAAAGGAGGCTGCCATTTTTTCATGATATGTCTTAATCTCTTCATGATTGTGTATTTTGCTTGTTCAGAAGTAGTACAGGGTTAGGTTCAGGTATAGGTAATTGGCATAATAGGGATTATTACATGACAAATACTTTACATACAATAATAAATGTGCAGCCCAGAATGTCCTCCATCCTCCTCATTGTCATCATCCTATATTGCAGATAGGGCACATCATTTGTGTTTTTTATATAAGAAAAAGGAGAGCATTATATTTATTTCCAACAAAAAAAGCACAAAAATTACAGAAAAATCTTCTGGAATTCTGGTGCATAATTAGCAGCTCTTTTTTTTTGTCGATGTTTCTCTTTACTTTTCATAGTATTTACATATTTTGAGCTGCCCTTGTTTACTGTGAAGTATGATGAATGTTGTGTTCCTAGGATGCATGAGGACATAAGATTAATGCAGATGAGTTTAAAATAATCAGCTCCTTTCATAATTCTAGATATTTTCTGGTGAAAATTAATAGTATAAAAAATGAGCCTCAGGAAGTGCTTCTCACTGGCTAGTAAGTAAGAGATAGAAACAAGAAAACAATATCTGTTTGATATCCCTCTTGCCTTACTGCTTGGACTAACTAATCTTCCAGCTTAATCATGAACAGAGAAAGATAATTGCTCCAGTTTTGAAGCATCACAACATTGTCTTTGATAATAACAACTAACAGCTGCAGAATAAAAGAGAAATAACAGATAATAACAGATGGATGCTGGTAGAAAACAAAACTGATAAAACTAGAGAAATGCTTTCAGTCTCTGGAACTAAAGCTAATTCTGTTTGTGTGGCGTAACTTTAGTCGCTAACGGCTCTGCAGTCGAGCTCCTCTCAGTGAGAGAAACCGTTTGTGATCGTCTCCCGTTGAAATGGCAAGCATTTCCTCTGTGGAAAGTGGAAAAAAGGGACGACAGAGAGCCTTCTACAGCAGAACAGCACCAACATTGATTTTCACTCCAGGACAGAGATCTGACTCTCTCTTCGTACTGACAACCTCCATCTACACATGCACACACACACACACACACACACACACACACACACACACACACACACACACACACACACACACACACACACAAACACACACTATTTATACACAGTAACCACACATATGCATACTTAAACACTTTTTGCAAAGTATCACTCATTAAATCAAAGTCTAGATTAGTGTGTGTAGTGTATCCAGATAAATATAGAAACAAAAATCTGTTTTGTCAGACTAGCAAGCTATTAAACTACTAAGTTGAAAATTTGCTTCATATGACACATTTACCTTTAAAAGTAAATCATTTCCACTTGTAGAATAGTTTGATTTTGGATCATTGTTTGTTTTCACTGAGAAAAGTGGGATATCTGAAATAAATCCAGGTCAAGTGCTAGACCACTCTCCTCACATACCTTTACAACTTCCTATTTCTTTTTCTGTTATATTTCCGTGTATTTCCCATTATATGAAAAAAGCTTTTTGTTGGGTTATGCTGTGAATGGGAAATAAGAAACAGAATAAGCTTAAGTTCACTTTGTTGACCTTGGTCTCTCAAACTCCACTGAATATCCCTTAATATGAAATATAAGTCAATATCCTTTGTCCAAAAAAGATGCTGCACATTTTTTTCTACCTTTCCACTCAAGGCCATTCATTATTTGAATTACATTTTGTTTGCGGTGAATCTGTTTTATATCTTACAGCTGGTAGGTTTTATTTTCTTTTTTTATCAGCTCATGAAAAATATTTTTTTTAAAGAAGTGGGGGCCGCCAGGGTGTGCCAGGGGGCCTCGGAAAATTTGAGGGAAGATGAGGGGAAACTCATTAAATTCACTAATTTAAAAAAATAAAATTGAATTACTGATCCCCTGTCTTTCCCTATCATTATGTGTATTATTATACTAAAATATGATGTATAATAATATATAACACAACATATTGAAATCGTATTTGACATGTCCATCTTTCTAATTGCCGATTTATCAGATAAATTGTCAATCTTGACCTGGTAGTGGTCTGCACTTGCTACAAAGCTGCTGCTCCTGAAATGTAACTAGCTACATAACCATAGACACCAAAAAAACACCACTATATATCAGGGCCCAGAGTCTTCTTTCAGGTCTTTCAAGAAAACCAAGACAAAAAACATTATGTGTTAGTTTTTTTATATCAAAAGTGAACGTTGTAGTTGAATTTGACCAATTCAGAAAAGGGCCTGATTGAGACTATAGACACTACTGCTTGTTACGACATGTCAGTTTGAAGCTATTGAAGACTCATTAAAAAGACAAATTCAACGCATATCAGGGAGCACTACTACTGGAGGTACTGCTGACCATACCCAAAGCTAGGTTGGAGGAATGAAGCCTCTCAAAATGCAGCATCATAAAAAAGAACTGTCTTCTTGGGGCCTACAGTGCCAGAAAAGGGCCTCACATGTGACTGCCGTCGCTCAGGCACCTCCACCTAGTTTATACTGGACTATGGTGCAGTTGTCGAGCCCCTGCGAGCAATTCTCCATGTATCTGAAATGTTCACATGGATGCCTGAGGCTAAGAGGAGCTTTGAAACGGTTAAGCCCTGTACTCTTCCTGTTTAACGCAGAGCTGCCTCCTGTGGTTACAATGGACGCATCTGATTATGTCCTGGGTGCAGTCCTCACTCAACTACATCCAGATGGCTCAGAGAGAACTGTAGCTTTTGCATCATGCATGCTCATCCAGGGGAAAAAAAGGCCAGGGGAGAGCAGGCATGCAGATGGCCAGGTAGTCATCTACCACTATGATTCAACTATGACATCCAGGAAAAGTTAGGTTGAGAGAGTGTAACTGTGGACTGGTTATCTCGACTCCCACTGCCAAGCTAGCTCAGAGCCTAGCTTGGTGGACAGAGCTGGAACGCATATCACGGCCATGGTCAGTGAAATTTGGGGGTAAGGCTGTATGCGCTTCCTTTCTTGTGCAGACTGAACTACTAGTTCAACTTTGCAGCCACTCTTCATTGTAGAGGAGCACATGCACTCTACATGGCTACTGCGCGGTATGTGGCACAAAGTCAATGTCCCTGGCTTACCACACACACAAGGTGATAGTGAAAACAAAAACACAGACTAAGAGAAGCATACTGGTGGCCTGGTGTGGACATTTAAGTCAAGGCAGTTGGCACTTCCTTGTTGGGTTCATTTGCCAGCCACGGACGTTGCCGCTCGGCCATATCCTGAGGGAGCTTGGGAAAAATTAGCAATTAACATTGTGGGGCCATTTGACAAGGTGCCCACACACTTCCACTATGCACGTCACATCACCTGACTGTCGTACAGTTCTTGTCATCTGGCATCAGCAGAGAAGATGACCCCAAGAAGCTGGTCCCAAATAACAATTTGTGTTACAGGAATTTGACACATTTCTTCAGGACAGGGGCATTGTGCTTAGGACATCTGTGTATTATCCCAGGGCTTATAGTTGAATGTTTCAGTTGCAGTCTGAAGGACAGTTTACAAATTGCCTTGCTGAAAGAGAATACATGGAAAACAAGTGTCGCTCGTATGTCAAGGTGAGAAAACCTTGCCATTTTCCCTGAGACCCAATGCAAGGGTGTTTTCTAGACCACTCAGGGTGGTGGTAAAGAAAGAACAGTATACCTACCTGGCACACATCTTACCTTGCCCCAGTTTCTCTTCAGTAAAAACGGGGGGTGACAGTGAGCTGTTGCCTCTGGAATTTGAAACTACGCCAGCTACACCACAAATGGATGTACCCACACCCATCTCTTCTAAGCCTGCCAGATTTGTCAGGCTTAGAAGAGCACCTGAATGGACTGAAGACAAAATGTTGTGAGTAACCTCTGCCAGGAACGAAAAACTCTTGATGAGGTAATTGATCTCAAGGAGTAAACATGCAGAGGTTAACTGTAGTAACACTGATCATTCTTCGTGTGAAATACTTGTAAGGTTAAACACCTTCTGGTAGCGGGTCCTCCTCTACGGAGTCCGCCAAATTGAACCGCTACATTCTTACAGTAGCCCAGAACGGACAAACCAAACACTGGTTCCAGATAGGGCCTTTCGTGTTTTTTTGTGAGCTTTCACGGCCACCATAGTTTGTCCTTCATGCTTGAAACGAGAAGGTGAAGGCGATGTAATCTGCAACTATACTGCTAGATGCCACAAAATCATACCAACTGGTCCTTTAATATCTTTTTATTAATACGTTATACTTCACCTGACTGGTGAAGTATGTGTGGACGCAACCCTGTCTTGTTTACATACAGCTAATCTGCAACAGCAAATACATTTTGAGGGAGGATTACGTTTTCTAAAATAATGTTGAAATGTTGTTAATTCCCATATCAGGCAAGTCACGACAAGAATGTTGATACCGAGTGTATGAGTAAAATGTTTATTTCTGTCAAAATTTCCAGTCTTGCAAT